TGCAGCCTAGTGAGGAGCCATATTGCTATGGCCAGTCTTTCCTCTGCCAGTTTGGAGGGCTGCCCTGGATCAAGTGAAAGGGCTGCTGCCCATCTGCCATCAAGCAGGGGTTCCCTCCTTGCTTGTCGCCCCTACAGGGTGACTTTTGACCCTTTCCAGGGTCCCCCAGTGGAACAAAACCGAACACAGAAGATGGACTCGCCATCTGCGGCGGCCATGATGGCAAACCGGAAGACCAGGAAATTTATTCAAAGTGATGCCAAATATCTCACTTTGGAGAAATCTTGGTTGTGAAAGAGTCACATTTCTTTGTTCATAACTTAATCAGCCAATCATGTGTTTTATATATCAGATTTTTTTAGTGAACTTATCAGATATCATTTTCCACATTCAGTCAAACATTATGGGTACAGCTCAAGTTGCCTATTTATCTGCTCCTGTAAATTCGAAGGAAGAAAAGTCTGAATCATACAGGATTTCAGTTTGGTTTTCTAAACTGATTTCCTCCCCAGATACAGGATTATATTTTACAAAATTGGAATAGAGTATGTATTTAAAGTGCCTTTAACCTACAGGTGGATTTTTATTTTATTTTATTATTTTATTTTATTATTAATTATTTTATTACTTTATTTCTTGACTTGATTATTTTTACAAATAATTCAAAGTGGCAAATTTATTCAACGCACCTTCCTTCTCCTATTTTATGTGCTTATGGTATGCTGTCTAATTTTTAATGCAATTATTTGATGCAATTATTAATACAATACTATTTTACAGACAATGAATATTGTCATTTTTATGGCAGATTTCTTTTTGGGAGTCTGATATGTAGTTTTTATTCCTCTCTCAAAACAAATAATAAAAAATTAGTAGTAGTAAGAAGCAATGGAGCAGAGAAGAATATTTCAATTTTCTTATTTTGTACCATATTTGCTTTAATTTGTTTTTTTAAATCCGCACAGTGAACATATTTGTTCATATTTTAGCATAATTCTCTTTGAAGTTTCACATTGTATATTTTGTGATCTTGCACACAGTTTGATGCAACAAAACGGACTCCCTGCTTTAGAAGTTTCAACCCAGAGGAATCCACCACCCATCTGAGTCATGACTGTTGTTCTGAACCAAGGAAATAACATTTCTGTTGATAATTTTATTAGCTTTTATTTTATTTTTATTTTCTTCATGAAAGAAAAGAATGTAACTGCCTTTCAGGAATTCTCTGAAGAAAGACTGCTCTGTGATCTAAAGAAAAGCAATGCTATCCAAGGATATGAGATGAACATTTGAGAAATCAGACTTTCTGGTTGATGTTTGCTAATGGGAAAGGCTGGTATTGATAGGTTTAATTGGGCTTCAGTCAACACCATTACTCAGCTTTTGACTGGCACTTTAAAATAAAAAATAAAGTTCCACTAATAACATTAAAACAAAATTAAGAGCAAATATAATTTTAAAAACACAAGACTCCTAAATTGTGCTTTCCAAACAAATTCATCTATGAATAATTAGCTTGACTGGCATTTTAAAATAAAAAATAAAGTTCCGCTAATAACATTAATAAAAAATGAAGAGCAAATATAATTTTAAAAGCACATGCTGGCTCAGGAATTCTGGGAGTTGAAGTCCACAAGTCATAAAAGAGCCAAGGTTGCCTACCCCTGCCTTATTCCAAACTAATTCCCTGTTTGCTCAGAGACACCTTCACTTGGATTGGAGGAACTAATGCCCCACAATGGCCAAGGAAATGGGAAAACACACAAAAAAGGATAGTTCCTTGAAAAACCTTTAGCAGGGCTTCGTGTTGTACTATCCCTGACCTGAAAAAATCTAATAGAAAACCATAATCATCATCATAATAATAAAGAAGTTAAATTGCTCCAGGACTTTAGAATTCAAATTTGAGACTGAACCATAGTCAATAAGAAAGACAAAAAAAAGGTCTGGCTAATAGACGTGACAATACCTGGGGGCAGCAAGCAGAAGAGAAAGAACTGGAGAAGACAACAAAATACAAAGACCTATAAATAGAAATAGAACAACTATGGCAAAAAAGCATAAATAGTTATAATAGTAATAGGTGCCTTGGGGGCAATTCTAAAACAACCGGAGCACTTTCTGAACATCATCAGCATTGACAAAATCACCATCAGTCAATTGCAAAAGGTAGCTTTACTTGGAACAGCTTACATTCTTGGTGATATCTTTAACACCATCAAACATCAACATTTGCCTATCCCAAGTCATTGGGAAGAACTTGATATGTAGATAAAAATGCCAAATCCCATCTAAACATGTGGCTGGCTTTGTAATAAACCAATAATAACCTGATTATCATCAGTGTATTGTGATACCTCTATTCTACTTAGACTATTAACAAGAATGCTTCTTACAACCTAAGGAGCCTGGCCATTTTCTACATTGATATAGCAAAAGCAGCAAGCCATAAAGCAGCTTACTATATTATGGTGGCAACAGAGCCCTTTCATTCTATTTTCACAGATGAAAATGGGCTCACCCTTGTGCACTTGTAATAAACATATCCTTACACCAGGTTTTTTCTTCTTTTTTCTTTTCTTGAACAACTCCATCTCTTTCTCACATGCTGGTAAAGGCTTTTTTTTTTTTGCTTTAGCTATTGATTTATTTTACAAGCAATGTATCCTGTGCTGATTTAAAAGCAAAGAGATTTGTTCGGTTAAGGATGCATGCTAGAAAAATGTAATTGGGCCTTATAATGTATTACTAACAGTTCAAAATCGGCTTTAAAATCGGCTTCAGCAATAACTGGCAAGCAAGTGACTCTTATTTTCTTCCATTTATAAGAGATAATTGGAATTGCAATTAACTTTTTTTTTAATTTGGGGGGGATATTGGAATTGCACTGTTTTCTGTATATACATCCCACTATGGTTGATCACTAAATTACCATAAAATGCATCACCAGCTTTGGTTCCAGTGTAAGGATACTATAATATAATATTATAACATTTTTGTGTTTTATATTCTGTTTCCATAGGATTAAATTGTATAATGCTTTCTTTCTTTCTTTCTTTCTTTCTTTCTTTCTTTCTTTCTTTCTTTCTTTCTTTCTTTCTTTCTTTCTTTCTTTCTTTCTTTCTTTCTTTCTTTCTTTCTTTCTTTCCCATGCAATAATATAGTTAATTGTAGGGGATACCATTAATAACTTTCTAAAAGGCTCAGAACATTAAAAACTTTACAGCATTTATGATCTTACTTTATTCTTCTGCATTCTGGAAATGAATCTCATTGCTGATTAATATAGATTAAAAGATGTGTCAGAAATAACTGCCCTCTCAAAGATTATAATGGCTGTATGCTGAATTGTGATAAGCTCATTTTCCTGATGTATCATTCCTGCCATGGTAAAAAGATGGAAAGACAGAAAAACAGCCTTCTATTCATGTAGAAATTGTGATAATGTTTTGCTGAGCTGAAAAGAGGGCTGACTTTTTGTGATTTGATGAAAGGCAAAAGAAGAATTGGCAACATGCAGAATGACAGTGATTATATAGTTGTGTTATCTAAGTGTTCAGTAGGTGAACAAAGTAGGGCATTTTCACATTAAATGCCTAATGTAGGAGTATACCTATAATTATATTATATGTTGTGTCCAGGGTATACAGTATATAGGACTGGTGTTCATATGGATATATGTACACTACATATATGTACATATATATGTACATATATACATGTACACTACAGACTAAATATACGTATGTCCATCATTTGCAGAGATGATCCACCTTTTATTTTTTTTAATGTATTTTTAATTTTTTTAAGACCAGGGATATCTCAAGGGTATGGCAAAAAAGTTAATATGACAGCCACAACAATGGATATTGTGGTTTTATAAATTTGTGCAATGCATGTAAGATGCATGTAAAACCCAAGATTTGCTTAGTTTTTACATGCATTGCATGTGTGATGCTCATAAAAAACAGGCAGCTCTTTGACTGTAGCACGATGAGTACAATCTTGACTTTTCTGACCACATTTTTAGAACCCCTGATGAAGATCAAGAAAATGGTGGTTACTTTTCAAAGGGGGGGAGGTGTGCTAGAATTCCCTCACAGAGCCAAACAATGGATAGGCACAATATTTTTTCTCTAAATGGCCTATTTCAGGAAAACATTATGGGAAGAAAAGAAGGCCATCAGAGCAAAGGAAACTGTACATGAGAAGTGAATGAAGGCTGGAAGGAGAATAGTGACCCACAAGAAGTCAGAACAAGGAACTGAGAGTTAAAGCCTAGTAGTAAGACATAGGGTGGGATGTGAAGAGAGAGAAAAAATTGGTTCCTCCAAATTGTTCAATACCATTTTCCACCCAACCAGTTTCCAGCAAGAGAAAACAAGATGGTACCTATCAGGCAGCCGGAACTATGAAAGATTTCTCACACTAGCGATTCCCACTGAAAGGTTTTCATCCCACTTTGCCTCTAAATCCTACAAATTAACAAGGATATATATTTTATCTTTTTATTACTCTAATTCATTTCCTTTTCAGCTGTTATGTCAATCACTGTGAGTGTTTAAATACAAAGCACATGTAGATGTGAGACACTTTTTTATGTGAATATGAATGAACTGTGAAGATTCCACCTAACAAATCTGGTTTTCGAATTGACTAAATTAATCAGAGTGTTAGAGTTGTTCACCAGATAAATTGGAAGCAAAGAGGTTTCTTCCTTTAAATTTTTGCAAAATTCAAGAGAAGAGAACAATTCATCATTATACTATTTTAATGAAAAGCAGTTTTGCCACAGAAATCTTGTCTGGGTAATAATGTAGTTTTCATTTGTTGCATTGAGGTCTTTTTAAAATCTCTTTTATCAATTTTTTTACAAAAGAAAACTGAATCTCACCTGCTGAATTGCTGGCCTTGAGATGAACTACTACAATGTCTCCATAAAGGAAAATGGGTGTGTCTTTCATCTTTTTCCCCCCCTTGTCTGCCTTTCTTTCTTCTAGTGTATACCAATTAAAGGCCTGGGATTTGTGCTTGGAGCCTACGCATGCATTTGTAAGACTGGATTCTATAATCCCAAAATATTTTCAATGAACATCTTTCACAGTAAGTGCTTTTGCTTAAGTCTGCAAGAGAGAACACATTAATAATGTAAGATTCCCTTTTATCCTTGTCAGGGTTATGCACCCGACTCTAACGTTCTGCAACTCAGGGATTATATAATCACTTAAGAAATTTTAGGCCTGTGGTTTGTCATCTGTGATGCTCTCTACAGTCTGTAAAACATATCCACTTTTATGGGTATTTGATTTGTAAAAGCTTTGCTCCTGGGCTGTTACAGTTTTCAGAACCAATATAAGGACAGCAGCTATTTTAAAATGCATATTAGTTGTCTTTTTGTTAATTTTAATCCTTCCCCTATATCAGTGTTTTTCAACCTCAGCAATTTTAAGATGGGTGGACTTCAACTGCCAGAATTCCCCAGCCAGTATCCTGGGAGCGGAAATCCACTCATCTTGAAATTGCTGAGGTTGAAAAATACTGTATTTCTCTATATAACAGCTGTATGAAATGTTTAAATGTATGCTTGGTCTACAATCTATAAAAATTACAACCCATATTCCCAAATTCATGGATGACTTTTAATCTGTTAAATTTATCCTTTCTTGTATGTTTATCTGAAAAACGAAAGCTTGCTCAGTCTCCCTCAAGCTAGTAGAATGAATAATTTAATCTGATCAGACAATCATGAGTGGTGTACAGAATTAAACATAGCAAGAGTTTTCCTTTACTTTTTCATATTTGTACATAAGTTATGCTCAGTTTACTCTCAGAGGCATCTACAGCAATGGCTACCTTTTTCAAAATCGTAAGTGTAAGTCCTTCTCCCTTTGAAAGTATGTTGTATCTTAAAATGGCAAGAGGTTGCAATCAATTGATCACCCCATCTCTTTAAAATTAGTGCATGTTGTTAACAATGCCCGTTTATTCTCATGATATATAATTCTACCCCATAAAAAGTTGCCTTGTTGGCTTCCATGTGTTGGCTTGCAGTGGTACTATTAGTACCTCTGAGCTCCCAATATCTCTAGGATCAATGTTCCTAAATTCTATCATAATTTGTCTCTCCAAAGAAATGTTTCTTTGTGATTTTTGCACAAGAAATGCTAGTAGTTCTTTAGAGAGCAAATCACATACGTAAGCACAAATCTGCCGCTATAAGTAATACATGAATTTGTTTACAAGTATATATGAACACATATATTATAGATATTAGATGTAAAGGACTAGCATATCTGGACCACAAACATCCAAACAGCTACTTCTTAGAATTTATCTTGGTTTTCATATAGTGGTCATTTGGATTCTTACAAATCCAATTATTGTAACCTTGTATTAGAGGCAGCAGCATCTGAAAGCTTGGAGGAAACCAGAGTCATGGTTTTTCCCTCCAGACCTCCTTCCTCAAATTGTTGTTGTTCAGTCACTAAGTTGTGTCTGACTGTTTGTGACCCTATGGACCATAGCACACCAGGCCCTCACTAGTTCTCCCAGAGTTGCCCCAAATTCGTGGTCATTACACCAATGATACTATCTAACCATCTCATTCTCTGCTGTCCCCTTCTTTTGCCTTCAATCTTTTCCAACATCAAATCTTCTCCAATTTATTTATTTTATTTATTTTTCATAATTTATATGCCGCCCTTCTCCCCACGGGACTCAGGGCGGCTCACAGCATATTAAAATAACACAACACAAACAACACAT